TGAATCTTGACGTCCTCCAAGGAGCATGTAAGTCAAACACTCCTGTAACCTCCCTATTGAAGAAATGAACAAGATCGTTAACATCGCCCATAGACAAGAATATATTCCAATCAATGTTGAATAAATCATTAACAAAATCGGCGAAAACAAATTTGGAATAGTCCCTATACGAGCGATATGAAATAGGAATTCGAGTCTTTCTTAGCTTTAACTGCGCGCAAACCAGACAATGATCTGAGACATCTTGCATATCAAGCACCTGGACATCCCAACATAACCGAGAATCCGACGTTATCAGTAAATCAATAAGCGTTTCAGAATTTGGAGTAATCCGACTAGGCTGTTTGACTAATTGAGTTAAGTTATATTTACGAAATAATCCATTTAGAAGTTTGGTCCCAGGATTACTTGCCAACAACATATTAACATTGAAATCCCCTCCGAACAATATATAATCAGCAGTAGGCAGAACATCAGCCAAAACATCCTCCAAGTCCTCCAGACAACCGTTCAAATTCAAATCAGGAGGTCGATAGAGAGACCCAAAGCAAATTGACTTTCCGTTCACTCTAACTCTAATCCAGAGCTGTTCAATTGAACCAATCCGATGTGCCACCTCCAGAACCTGAAATTTCAAAGAGCATCTGACATACATTGCGACACCACCACCTCTCCCATCCCTATCTTTCCTAATCAAGTTATAGTTTGCTATTTTTAATCCTCTACTAAGTATACCGTCATGTAGCCAAGTCTCTGACAGACCAATGACGTCAAATCCCTCCTCCGTAACAAATTCGCAAAATGCATCAAACTGAGAACAAATCGAGCGTATATTGAAATGAGCGAATTTAAAGCTAGCCTCCATACTTGCCATATACCTCTCTAGTGAGCATGCACATATGTGTTCCACCCCATAAAATTTTTGAAGTTATGATAAATGTGTGATGAATTGAAAAAAAAAAAAAATAATAATAAAAAGAGATAAATTGAAAATAGTAATTATTATAAGCCTACGTATAAATCTAGCCTAAATAAAAATTCCGGTAGTAGGTAAAATAAAAGTCCTAAAAGCATTAGAACCATAAAATGAAAATTGCATTTTTCTATTTATAATAATAACAAAACCAACTATTCGGGCAAAAAAGAAATAAAAAGAATCGATGACGATTACAAACGATGAAGGTAAAAACTATCATTGTACAGCAGCATTCCAACAGAAATAGAGAATTATTGTTGCACACCATCATTTTAACGTTATTTATAGACACTGCTTTTTCTTCGCTTTAGCATCCCAGTAATAAATTTTCCCCGAGGATGACCAGACATTATTCTTACCATACTTTTCCTTGGCTTCGCATAGTAACTCAAATCGTTTTTGAGTCAAATCTTCAAAAATTGACACAGGCGTGTCTTTCAGAAGTTTTTTTTCCATAAATATTTCATTCCGCTTGACATTACTAATAAAAGCTGCTATTATTGTGCCTGGGGAATTCCCCTCATCACTCTTTGACAAACGAAATATGTAATCCAGATCGTCCTTGGTGCAGTTGATATTAAGGTTCTCACTAAAGAAACGCGGGACCTTTTCATAAAGATTTTCTTCATCGGTCTCTTCTAAACCACAAATTCGCAGAGTATTTCTCTTGCCTTGCTGTTCCAAAACGTCCATCCTGATATTCAAGCTATCAATTTCCTTTTTGTTGGTTATAACGGACTCATTAATTTTTGTTAGTGAATCACCGACCTTAGCAAGCTTGGAATTAATGCTGTCCAGTTTAGCATCAAACTTAGCCTCAAGCTTCTGCACAAAATTAGTACAGACTTTAGAAATTAATTTTTCCATGGCATCTTCATCCATACGGGACACGGATATCAATATTTCCTGAAGGTTATATCCATGACCTGTCCATCAGACGTTCCACTTTCAGTTACAAGAACAGTGGATCAACCGTGAAGGAAACCTCCTTAAGTGGCGTAAAAAAAATTATTATTTTGTGTATTGTTCCGGACATAAAGGAAACATATAGAAATCTTTCATTATTGTTCGAAATAACCAAACTAAACAATTTGTCTTTCAAATTTGTTTCCGATTTTAAATTAATGTTGATAGCCAATGGCTTACAAACATCTACATCAACTTATCCATGTCCTTATTGTTTGATTTCAATAACTGATCTAAGAAACGGAAACGACAGTTACTCACATGAACTAAGAACTTATGGTGGATTAAAGGAAAGTTTTGTCAAATATACAACCATTCTTGACAAAAATATAAAAAATGCGAAGTATTCCTATAGCACGATACATGAAGCATTATTCGCCGAAGATGAAGAAGTCACGGTTTTGGAAAAATGCGTTCTGCCTGAGCTGCATCTCCTACAAGGAATTGTAAATCATTTATTCTGGAAGGGCGTTGTTCCTCTGCTTGGCAAAGATAATGCATTGAAATGGCCAATAAAACTTAATATTGTAGCAAAGAATTATCATGGAGATATTTTCGAGGGAAATGCCTGTCGGAAATTGCTGAAAAATGCCGATCACCTTAAAGATCCCCAAATTTTAGCAGATACAAGTGACATATATGTGATGCCCTTTATTGAATGTTTTAAATCAATGAATAAAATTGTAGATTATTGTTTTGGGTGTAACCAAGATATAGACTTCAAAGAACTAGATAAGGAAATCGGACATTTAAAAAAAGTTTATCGTGATGCAGGAGTCTCAACAACAATAAAAGTTCATTGTATTTTTGACCATTTAACTGAAACCGTTTCTTTTCTTAAATCTGGACTTGGCACATGGTCGGAGCAAGCAGGGGAATCGATACATAGGGAGTTTATCAAAACTTGGAATAATTATAAACTTAATTCTATTACGGATCCTCGTTATGGAAATCAGCTGCTTAAGGCAGTGGTAGAGTTTTCCTCGAACCGACTTTAAATTTTAACTAATTTGTAAAAATTTGTAGCATTATCATCAGAGTTATATTTATTTTATTAATATTGATTTGTTATAAAAACGGTTATGTTAGGGTACTAATTACTTGCTTTTAAAATACGTGTACTTGGTTTTTTATTTCTGTTTAAGGCTTTGAGGAACACCCATTAATTTTGATTTATATGATGGAAAATTAGTAAAAAGTTTAAAATTAGCTTTGCTGGTTTTGTCATTCTTACTAATTCAAAAAAATATACAGCACATTCCGTTTGACGAACTCCAATGAAACTTTGCAAAAATATTTCAGGACACTTTAATAACAAACCTGCAAAATTTGAGTAAAAAAAAATAAGTTGTCTCTAGGCTGCCTCCACGCAACTCGCCAGTGTGGCGTTGAGTTTGACCAAAATGACCATAACTGGCCTGAAGGATCAGCGGCGATTTTAAGACACAGTGTTGCATGATCTACTAGCCTCACACTACAAAACACTGCTTTCAGTTTTTTTTGTGGTTTTAGAAAATCCTATACTTTGTTCCGGAACAGTGTGTGATATTCGGGCAAGTTATATCGAATGAGTAACGCATTTCGTTAGTTCTACGAGGACTTCGGGCAACTTATGCCTGCCGAACGCGGGCGCTAGAAAATCCGTCCCGGCTAGTGCCACCAAACATCGCGCTAGGCGGTGCGTTTATTGGGCTCCAAACAGTGTTACCAGATTGAGGGATTTTCCCCCAAATTTGGGGGATTTTCAAGTAGATGGGGGAAAATCTGGGGGATAGTTTTTTCTGGGGGATTTTTTGGGGGTAAGAATTTTCGCTATTGGGGGAAATCGGGTATATTTCAATGAATAAAACTAAAGTAAAAAATGTATTAAAACCACTGCGCCATCGATTTTTTCAATCAAGTACCAATAAAAAAAAACAGTTTGCTTCTTCTCCAGTGTTGCCAATGGGCGGATTATAATCCGATTTGCGGATTTTTTTTGGACGATCGGATTTTTTTCGGATTTTTTTTAGATAAAACGAATAAGCGCATGAAATCCCTCCAAAGCACAAAAAGCCAACATGGCTGCTATGGCAGTATGCAACAAAATTTTTGGGATTAGAAAAATATAAACAAATAAAAAAGTGGTAAGGGTATGAGTTTTATTTTAAAATATTTAACGAATTTGTCTTTTTTTTTTTTTGCAAGTATGAGTCGCGAATAAATCTATATTTATTTGGGGGATTTTAGTTGACAAACAGTGATTTTTGGGGTATTTTTGAAATCCTTTGGGGGAAATTAGTTATAACCATCTGGCAACCCTGGCTCCAAATGTTCCGCCCGGAATCAGGAAATTTTCGCGCATTCAACGGTTGCCGGCGTTTATTCAATGTTTTGTTTTTGGATTAAGTTTTTTGTCAGTATTTTATCAGTTTTTTATTGGAATTCGGAAAGTTTATTAATCTAATTTGCTAATATGAAGTTCAGTGAATTACAAAAACTCGTGTTCAGCTCTTTGTGTCTAAACGACGAACTTGACTTGAAAAATACTGGACGACCATTGCCAATATCGAATATTGTGCAGGTACAATCAAAATGTAAAAATAAGGTACTGTTTTCGCGAAAGTTTGACAAAGAAATATACAATAAAAATTCGTAGATATGTGTCAAAAACTGGCTAGTACCCTAGTACTCATGTTGCCCCTAAAATTTTGACCTTAAAATTTATATTTAGAGACTGACTTTATGATGACAAATTTTTAAACATTTTTGTCTAAGCCCCACCTCACATGATTGTCACGAGCCGCCACTGATTACTTAATAGCTATTTCGTTTTTCAATAGGAAAAGTAATCACTCACACACTTGTGGTTAGTTTCGGTAAGTTTCCAAAAAATTTCGCCGTTGGAACTACATATTTTGGTCATCTTTCTTGACAAGGATGAAAGGCGTCAAGAAATGTTCTGCTTCTAGCGCGAAATATCCTAAATCCGCCTCTGAAGCTGGCTATTCTATAAACATCTTCTCCGATATATTATTTGTTTCAGTTTAATTTTTATAAAAAGTATTTTCTTTTTTAGGCTATGCCTTACGACGGGACCTCGAAAAGTACCGTGTCAAAGCGGCCACATCGACCCCTACAAGAGACGGAGAAATAATCGATCCCAATTTTTCAACCATAAGCGCAGTGGGACAATCGATCTGTCACAAAACACATATCGACGAGACAATCACCAGTAGAAGACAAAGCTACAAGCGAAAAGCTGACGATCTAGTAGAAAAAATCGACATAAAAAAAGTGAAAAGTGCCCAGCACTTTTTGGACGGTTGCTCGGTTTTTATTGCTGGTTTTAGTCCGAATTGTCACGAAAAACTTAATAAAATCATAAATTTAAGCGGGGCAACTCGTTACGATGAGTTTTCAGATAGAGTCAGTCACGTCATTGTCGGAGACCCAATTTGCTCTGAAGTAATTAAAATACGAGAAAATTGCGATCAATGTTATTTGGTATCTGTTCAATGGCTGCTGGATTCAGTCGAGCAACAAAAACCAGCCGAAGAGAGCAAATATTTTATATCCAATAGTGATGAAACTGGTAAAATTTTAAGCGAAAAAGTCATAAACATCCTTAAAGAAAACAAAACAATAACAAATGAATCAGTTGCAGTTGATAATGATGACGTATTAACGCAAAAATATTTAAGAATGGCAGTTAGAGATGATGAGGCACAAATGACTGATAATAATCAAATGGAAGATTTTCAAATAAAAACAAGAATTTTTCAAAATAAAGCGCAAATCAGTAATCAGTCTTTAACATTTGTACCGCCAAATACTTCTACTCAAATATCTGAAGTCAGCACAGATATGTCTGAAACTAATGAAGAATTAAATATTTTTGAAAATTTGAAGTTTCGTTTAGAAGGATTTAGTGAGGAAATTATTAAGGAAAATAGAAGTCTTATTGCATCTGCTGGTGGAACTGTTGTTGATTGTTTTTTTAAAGGAATCTGTAATTATGCAATAGTTCCAGTTATTTATAATCCAAAGGAACTACTTCCAGCCTTAGAAATAGTAAACAATTTATGGCTGAATGAAAATCTTGAAACCCAAGCTTTAATCAGTGACATAAAATATTATCACAGGCACATCAATTTATCTTCAACAGATGTTTTAAATGATTGCGTAGTTACAATAAGCGGTTATACAAATTTCGAAAGAGAATTCTTACAAACAATCATTATAGGCCTCGGAGGCATATATCAAGAACAATTTTCCAAAAAAACCAACACAGCTAAAAATGTCTTGGGGTCTACTCACTTAATAAGCCCTGAAGCTAGTGGGAAAAAATACGAAGCAGCTTTAAGGTGGAATTTGCCTGTAACAACCAATGATTGGTTGTTGGCTTGTGCCAAAACTGGCAAACGACTACCACTAGAAAACTATCTAATCGGAGAAAGTAAAACTTCCAATAACGAAACATTGAATACCACTACTGCACAAAAAACTGTAACTCCAGAAAAAGTCGATGCTCCTAAAACTCCAAAAAACTTGACACAAGAAAATTTCAGTCAAGTAACTCCGATAAATAAAATTCTAGAAGACGCAGTGAACAGTAAGCTTTTGCCGACGCCCGCGAGACCAAAGCAATATTATCCGTGGGATCCGAAAACTCCCGAAACTCCTCTGGGAGCTTTCATCAGGCCGAATCCTTCGCCCGGATTGAGGAAAGAGTTGCAAAAGTATGTGAATTCGTTTCCGGATTTTGTGCCGCCCAAAAGACGACTCAGTACGCCGATGTCGGAACTTAAGAGACGACTTTGGGATAAAGCCGCAGGTAATTAGACAAGTTTTTTTTTGTATTTGGTACGAAAAATTGTTTCTTGTATAGGGTGTCAAGTTATAAAGTACCACCACCTGTGACTTTTTTCTTTTGATCGTACATAAAAAAGTTACAGGTGGTGCGGTACTTTATAACTTGACACCCGGTACTAAAAACAACACGCTTTTGCCAAGTTAGGTGACGATAAAATTATTTATCTAGATAACTTGAATATAAAAATTTATTGTTCCTTTCATTATAAGGATTCAATATATTTTTTTTTTTTTGAATTTTGAGACTGCTGCCAGGGATTCTGTATGAAAAACAAATAGGTATAGTTATTGTCAGGGATTCCGAATTCACTAAAACTCACTTCACAGACAATAGAGAGTTTTCGTTCGCGATTCCGATAGCCGCTATTTGACAAATTTGACATTTGAGCTGTCATTTATCGTTATCGTTACCGATAAGTACCGGAAGCTTACGGACGGAAGACAAAAGCATAGCGAAAACGGAAAGCATCCTATTTCCTATTTTTTTGTTGTGGTTTGTTTTTGTTGTTAAATGTTTTTGGTTTTCAGAACAAATTCAAAACTAATTTTCTTCAAAAGATCGAAAAATCGTTTCATGGAGGAGGACAATATTATTTTATTAGAAGAAATATTGGCCAACAACCCATATGGCGCTGCATCTAAATAGCCTAGGGCTCGGAATTTTTAAAATTTAAGTATTCAAATAGTCGTTTGGTATTTTATTCGAATAGCTGAATAATTCGAATAGTCGAATATTCGAATATTCCAATAGTTTAATATTCCAATAGTCAAATATTCCGATAATCATTTATATTATCAAATCAAATCAAATCAAATCAAAATAGCTTTATTGATATAAGAAAAGAATCAATCTCATTACCAAAGCAACTTAAAACTAGCAAAAAAGTAAATACGTATGTTTCTTGATATGCTGGATTCTGCGAAGGACCACCTAACTGTTGTTAGGAAATTAAACACTTGTTTTTCTGAGACTGAACTTTTCCATAATTTATTCAGTATGGTAGTACAAGCATGCACAACTACAGCAACAACAACTTACAACGCTTCGTTTTCTGATAATAATCATAATAATTCTGACCACACAGGTTATGTTTCTCTAACTGTCAACAAAATGGCTTCGCGCTCCCGCTCTTTCTTCTTTTCTTCTTTTTTTTATTTTATAAAGGCAACAAACCAAGAAATTATTTAAATTTGCGAGCCAAAGCGCCGTTGCCACGTTGACATAAAATGAAAATAATAATCAAAAACTGTACATAAGCCGGCCACGTTGAAAAGCTGGCTTTTCAAAATAAAAATAAATGAGAACTTATCAATAAATCCGAAATGTTTTTAATTAGTCTCTATAGGCAGTAAACAGATTTTGGATAAAGATCGCTTAAAAATGCTACCACTGGAGACGCGCACTGAAACTACTCTCACAACATTATCTGAACCTGGGTGTAACTCTACAACCCTAGCCATACGCCATTGTAGAGGAAGCATATTATCCTCTATCATAATATAACCAAAGCACCAACCTGGATCGGTGTATCAATCTCAGTTTGCCACTTAGTCCTTGTTTGCAATTGTGATAAGTATTCCTGTGACCAGCGGCACCAAAATTGTTGCATTAATTGTTGTAAATAATGATAGCGTGTGAGCCTATTAACGTTAGTATCTAGAACATCATTCTGAGGAGTACATGCTAAAGAGTCTCCTATCAAAAAATGAGCTGGTGTCAGAGGTAAAAAATCATCAGGATCATTTGATAGTGGTGTCAAAGGCCGGGAATTAAGACAGGATTCTATTTCAGTTAACAAAGTATACATCTCTTCATAGTGCAACATTGCATTCCCTAAAATCCTGCGCAAATGATACTTAGTCGATTTGACCGTAGCTTCCCATAACCCACCCATATGTGGAGACTTGGCAGGAATGAAGTGCCAAGTAATTTGGTCCTTTGATAAAAATTCAGAAACGGTCTTTTTATGTTCATTATTAGAAAACAAGTTATACAATTCAAGAAAATGGTTGTTAGCACCAATAAAATTCAACCCATTATCTGAATAGATATCGCTTGGCTTACCTCTCCGCGAGATGAAGCGTTTTAAGGCATTTAAGAAGCTATATGTGGTCAAGTCATTTACTAATTCGATGTGTACAGCCCGAACCGCCAAACAGACAAACACACAGATATAGGTTTTTACCGATTGGCATTTACGTCTTACTCCATCTTTGACATAAATTGGACCAGCAAAATCTACGGCACATTTGGAAAACACTCTGCTAGGAGTAACCCTGGATGCAGGTAGCTGACCCATTAAGAACTTTGAACGTTGAGGGTTCACACGAAAACATCTAACACATGATCTTATTACGGTTTTAACCATATTTTTTCCATTAACAAGTCAATAGTTTAAGCGTAAGATGGATAGTAAATTCTGAGTTCCTGCGTGAAGATGCTTAATGTGTTCGGAACTAACTAATAAATATGTAAATTTATGTTTATAAGGTAAAATAACCTGATGTTTTTGATTGTAAGATATATTTTGTGAATGAGAAATTCTACCACCTACTCTCAAAATGTTGTGGTTATCTATAAAAGGGTTCAAACTTAATAACTTGCTATTTTTATCTAATGGTTTTTTAGTTTTTAAACATTTTATTTCTGATGAAAAAGCTTGCGACTGAGCTACTCTAATTAAAATATTAAGAGCTTCTTTTAGTTCTCCTACAGACAAATGTTCTGAAGGTAATTTTGTTTTATTTAAAGTTAGATTTTTAAATCTTAAAATGTATGCAGTTATTCTCTGTAATCGTAATAGAGTAGAGTATTTCTCAAAAATATTAAAATTCGAATATTCACAGCCCGCTAAACTAATTGAAGAAATTTTGATTTCAGGAAGATCTCTGGGTTCTAAAATATTAATTTCCTGCAAACGATTCGAACCTTCCATCAAGAAAGATGGTCCGTACCACCACATATTTGCATTAATTAAATCTTCGGGGTCGATACCTCTGGAAATGATATCTACCGCATTATTTTGGCTACTAACGTGTTTCCAACAGTTAACATCTGTCAATTCAGTTATTTTTGCAACCCTGTTTCCCACAAAGGTTTTTAATAAACTAGGGTCAATCTTGAGCCAAGATAATACAATAGTAGAGTCTGAAAATAAAATCACTGCCGAGATAGTTATGTCAAGTGTTTCTTTCACACATTGTACTAATTTTGCCAATAAAAACGCTGCAAGCAACTCTAACCGAGGTAAGGTCAATGTTTTAAGTGGTGCAACTTTTGACTTGGCACATAGTAAGCGCACAAATCGATTCCCATCGTTATCAGTTGAACCTAAATAAATAGCTGCCCCATACGCCTTTATGCTTGCGTCGCAAAATCCGAATATTTCAATCGATTCGTAATTTGTTTGTAATACTTGTCTTTTAATTTGAATGTCAGTTAAAATAGGTATTTGTGACAGAAAATTTAACCAATATTGTTTAAGATTATCTGGTATTGGTTCATCCCAACTAAGTCGTAACTGCCAAAGTTTTTGCATCAGACATTTAGCCTTTATTAATGCTGGACCGATTAATCCTAAAGGATCGTAAATTTGAGCTAGTATTGATAATATCGAACGTTTTGTAACCTGAGAAAAATTATCTTTAACTGCTATAATATATTTGAGAGTATCTAAATTCGGATTCCATGCAATGCCTAAAGTTTTTATTTCTTTATTGTCGCGCGGTAAAATCAACTTTTCATCCTTGAATGTACTGTTTTTAGCTATAAAATCTAAAACGTAATTCTCGTTGGATGACCACTTTCTTAGATCAAACCCAGCTTGAGAAAGAATCATCGTAATTTCTTGATAAATTTCTATCGCTTCTTCAATTGAATTTACGCTGACAATTAAATCATCCATATAAAATGAATTTTGGATTATTTTTGACGTTCGTGGATACATTTCCTGATTTTCTATTGATAGTTGCTTAAGGCATCTTTGAGCAAAATAAGGAGCCGTTTTAGTGCCGTATGTCAATGTATTTAACAAATAAACATTAATTGAATCATTCTCATCATAGCGCCATAAAATCTGTTGGTATGGACGATCTGAAGGATCAACTAAAATTTGTCTATACATCATCTTAATATCTGCGTTTAAAACAACAGGTCTGAGTCGAAATCTAAGTACTATTGAGAATAAATCGTCTTGAACGGTTGGACCTAAACATAGCAAATCGTTGAGAGATAGATTTTTATTCGTTTTGAAACTAGCGTCGAATACTACTCTACACTGAGTGGTTAAACTTGATTCTCTTAACACTGGATGGTGCGGAATAAAGTACGATTGATTCTCAACAGAACTGTCTTCCGACAGAGGGCACTTAATTGTCATATGTTCGAGTTTTTCATAATCTGTCATAAATTCCTTGTATTGAATCTTTAAGTTTTTATCCCGTTTAAGTCGTGCTTCCATACCCAAAAACCGTTTCAGACACAATTCTTTGGACATTCCTAAATTTGGTTCGAGCGTTGGAAGAAATGGCAATTTAACGACAAATTTACCATCTAAGTTTCTTAAAGTAGGTATATTTTTTGAAATGATCTTCACAATATTGAGCTTCTTCCGATAAAATTTTTTTTTGTGGCAGTTCCTCAACCTGCCAAAATTTAACTAATGTTTCATTTAAGGTGTCGGTTTCATTTTGCTGAATGAAATTACAAATTGTTTTTTGAGAAATCCGAGGAGAAATCTGTTTTATATTTGAATTTAAAAATATCGATCCTGTTAAAATCCACCCTAAGTGTGTCTCCTGTAGTCCTGGCGAATTTTTTCCTAATCTAATTTTACCTAAACCTAACAATTCATAAAAAAGATTCGCGCCTATTAAAATGTCAGTTTCTTTCGGTTCGTTATAATGTTCATCTGCTAATTGTATACTCTGCGGAATATTAACTAGCTCTTTCGAAAATCCAAC